TGGTGGCCCTGGACTGATGGCTCCCAGGGAGTGGCAGGGCTGGATCATCACCCTAGGGGTGATCAGCAAAGTATGGTTCCTGCAGCCCAGAAGCCTTGGTTTCTACAGAGCCCGTGGTAACCTCGGCCTGTTTGCCTTGCTGGGCAGGTGCTAAGCTACATGGCTGTCATCCTGTGTCAAGCTCAGATGCAGTGCCAGCCGTGAGATCAGAAGGCTTCCCGGGGAGGAGTTAGAGTCCACAGCCTACAGACAGCCTTGCAGGGGATATATCTGCACTGATAGATGTGTTTGCTCATAGGGTGGCAGTGAGAAGCCGAGAAGTGCATAGTAGGGGCCACCTAGTCTTCCCAAAGCATCTCTTCCAACACTTCCCTCTCAACCCTGATGGGCCTTCCTGAGAGAGGTGGTCTCTGGACCACTTCTGAGGCTGCACTAAGAGAACCCTTTACTCAGGGCTTAGGACCAGCACCCGGCGAAGCCTCCATGGGCCAGCACACTGCTCTGGAGGACTGAGTCATGTGGCTGATGGAGCTGGGGCCCTTTGAGGGGCCCACAGGTGGTGTCTGGTACCCCAGCAGCAGTTAGTTTGGGTCCCCAATCTAGAAGGACTGACTTGTGGAGAGAGGATCCCCTGTTCCCTCTGAGTGGGTGGGGGTTCTGGTTGTGGGGGACTCCACACCTTGTATTGTATGGAGGCCGGAGGTCCAGCAGCCCCTTCTTATCCTTCCATGGGCCTGCCCTCTCCATGCAAAGGTCTCTGGTGCACCCCAAGGCAGGGCCGGTCATGCTAACAAGCTGCCCAGCTGCTGCTCCACATCCTATGTGAACACCTGGTCTAAGCCTGCTGTGTCCCTGAAGCAGACCAGGGGGAAGGGAGCCGATATGGACAACCTCAGGGAGCTTGTGTGGTTCTAGCAGCAGTCTTAGCATAAGGGCTGCTGTGCGCCTACTTTTCCTTTCTCCACGAGGTGGACAGAGGCCTCCTATCAGGTGGCCCCAGTTCCTTCTATAGCCTGGTCCCTTCCAGACTGTTCCCTGGCCTGGGACCACCAGGATCTCTGCTGCTGCCTGAATCTCACACTAGTGTTCATCTGTCCTGACAGTCTGTGGCATTGTCCTGAGAGGCCACGTCTGCCCTAGTCCCTGCTCCTGTCCTGTGTCATGGGAAGTAAGACTGTAGTCATTTCTCTAAGAGCCACACACCTGGTGCCTTGATGGCTGGGAGATAGCCCCTGCACCTCCCAGGCCTGGTAACTCGAACTCTGCAGCCTGTGTAGGACCCACAGTCCCTGAGGTCCACCCAGCATTCAGGTCAGAGTGGCAGACCATGTCATTGTGGGTGTTGGGTCATGCTCCTATGGTCTGGGCCCTGCTGTCTACTCTTGGCCCTATGGCCTAGGGTAGGATAACATGGACTGTGGTAGTCCTTGCCCCAGGGCGAGCAGCCTGCCTGGCCCTCATGCTCCTGGCATGTGGATTTGTAGTGTGGTCCACCGTCCACTGTGTTCTCCAAGTAGCTGATCCACTGCAGCTTGTGTTGCTCTTACCCCATCTGTCGCTGTCTCTCTAATGTCCCGCAACTTCCCAGGCTCGGTTTCCATTCTTCCTTTTGGGTGTGGCTGTTTTCCTGTTACAGCCCCTGGGCCCCAGCATCTTGTGTGATGTCCACATACTTTGTTTTCCTTTGTTTATGTTGCTTACCTGACCAGCCCTTTAAGGTGGAAGGATTTGTTCCAATGCCGATTCATCCCTGGCCCTCTTCTGCCTATGAACCTTCGTCCAGCCACTGTTTCATTGCTGAGATTTGTGCAAGGGCCTGCTGTGGGCCATCAGGCTGTGCAGCTGCTGTGCCCAGGGGTGGTTGCAGTGGGACTCGTTCTTCCCATCCTCAGTGAGCTCTAGGACAGACTGCTCAATGGCAGCAGGAGACTTAGAGCATCAGCCATCTCTGTGTCTGCCTTTTGGGTCTTGCACACAAGGTCTAGGGGCCTTTGGAACTATGCCTGGGTAGGCCAGGCAGCTGATGTGGAGGCCCTGGCTCTGGAACAGGCTTGGAGAGGTGTGAGGAGATGGGCCTGGCATTGGAGGGCAGAGACTCAGAGGGAAGGGATGCTGACAGTCAGTGTCATGGATGGGCTGCCACCCAATAAAGTCTCTGGATCTTAGCAGGAAGCTAAAGTTGAGATTCTACCTGCGGGGCTGTCAGGGCCCAGGATCAAGGGTTATCACACCTAAGAGCACTTAACAAGTGTATTCTTACTCCAGGAGAGCGGGTCCACCCCGGAGCTGCT